TATATATATATATATATATATATATATATGTGTGTGTGTGTGTGTGTGTGTGTGTGTGTGTGTGTGTGTGTGTGTGAAATTTTGCTTATTTTGAAAAATAGGGGAATTGAGGCTCTAGGATACTAAAATAATTTATACATGGTCACATAATTATTAGGCATCAGAGGAAGAATTTGAAGATAGGAACCCAGCTCTTCCAAGTCCAAAACTATTGTTGTCTCCACTGTATCATAATCTCTCTCTAGTAAATACATAATAAAAGTTTGTTGAATGAAAATATACAACTATGAATGAATGTGTAAAACCTTAAATTTTCAGAGGGCCAGAACCATGTCTTTTCTGCCTTCTCATCTCCTCTAGAGGTAGCCCAAGTATACTACATAATAGACATTTCCTAGCTGGTCAATTAATAAGCATTTATTATCTAAAAAATGAATGAGGGAAAAGAATTTAGATGTAAAAATCAATATATTTGATCTTTTTTTTACATTTTACATAAATTTTTATTCCTGCATTTACATTATATCACATGTATTTTATTTACATGTATTACATGTATTTACATGCATATTTATTTACATATACATTTATATATACATTTAAGTCTGTTTATATAAATATCTCCTTTAAGGAAACTACAGTCTGAAGTTTATGATTTTGTGGTACTCTTATTTTGTTCATTTGATAATTTTTGTTGAAGATTAAGTTTATTAAAATAATCTTTTAAAAGTATTCAGATTCATTTTTTTTACTCTGTGTTCATTTGTGACTATCCTATTGTTTTTAGACTTGCTCTCTACAGGAAAGGTAGACGCAAACCTTGATGAAAGATGAGCAAAATAAAAGCCAGCCGAGAATCAATAGAGAGTAGGGATTTGCACCTGCTGAGGGCCCAAGGGGCTAGGCCACAGAAGGGATGGTCACTTGTTCTAAAGCAAGCAAGAAAAGTGTTTGGAAAAGATAACTGCTTCTTGGAAGAATCTGCACTTGGAGCTTTAGATATGGAGCCACCAAATTAATCCAGTTTGGTTATCAGAAGAGAAAAAGGATCTGTACTGTGGGCAATTAGCCTTAGTTATGGTATGGGGAGATTGCAGCTTAAGTAGAGTTTGGCCATAATATCTTTGGAGCAAAACCCAGTCAAGACTGAAGAGTCAAACGGTACGATCATCTGTAAACCACTAACGTAGGTTGTCAGATATAATTTTTGCCAATCTTATTCCATACCCATAGGGAGGCTACACAACACCAGGAAACATCCACTGACAAACCTGGCATTGGCTTTTCTTTTTCACTGATATAATACATATTTGATGAGCATCTGATATGTGCAAGGCCCCAAACACCAGGTCCAGGCTTTGAAATGATAAAATCACATTTACATATTGCACTAAAGTTCATAAAACCACTGGATGTTAGAGTAGGGAAGGACCTTAGAGATCATCTTTTCCAACTCTCATATTTTATAGATGAGGAAAATAAAGACAAAGATTAGGAATTGAGATGATACAGTAAAAACTATTATCCTCACTCAGATGTCTGTTCATTCATTTGTTTGTTTATCCATCCATCCATTCATTCATTTGACATGTACTCTACAGAGGAAAGCATGTAATAGAAATAACGTTTATGTTGGAGTTAGAAGATGTTGAAGTTCCAGGTCCTCCATTTTCTGGTGGTAAAACATTAGATAAGTCATTTCATCTCTCTCTGGTTTCCTCATGTTTAAAAAGAGGAGTTTGAGGGGCAGCTAGGTGGTGCGGTGGACAGAGCACCAGCCTTGGAGTCAGAAGGACCCGAGTTCAAATCCTGTCTCCGACCAAATACTTGATACTTACTAGCTGTGTGACCCTGGGCAAGTCACTTAACCCCAATTGCCTCTCAAAAAAAAAAAGGAGGAGTTTGGATTAGGTGATCTTTGTGAACCATCAGATTCAGGAGACCTGAGTTCAAATCTTACCTCTAATGCTTGCTACCTATGTAACTGAGTCACAGACTCTGGAAGGGACTATTCATTTCTCCCTAGAGTTCTCATCATTTCCACCTGGCAACCAGTTAATACATATTAGTGAGAATAAGATTCATGGTCAAATTTTCCTTTGTTTGATTCTTCATGTTTTAAAGAATAAAATTAGCATTAAGGCAAGTCAAGACGTTATTAGCTGCTCTTTTTTTAGAAGTTAATTTGAAGTTTGGTTAATTGAAGTCCCTTTTCACATATATGTATATATATATATGTAGATGTACATATGTGTCTGTGTATATACACATGTGTGTATACACAATATTCCTGTGCTGGGCTTATGATTTCTTTCCCAAGCTCCTCATCCATTTCTTCATTCTGTCCAGGTCGTCTGTATAGTTTGATGACAAAATTGCTTCAGCTTGATCTTAACCTAAATCCCTTCCTCCATGACTACCCCACTCACATTCTTGAATTTCTTCACATGAATGGATTTTCACAACATGTAATGCTATCTTTGCCTTTTAATATTTGCACGGTACTTGGCACAATGCCTGGCACATAGTAGGCATTACATGAATACTTATTCTTTTTTTCTTTCCCCTACCTTTTATCTGTCTTGTTTCTTCTGAATAAGGTATACCCATGTGTAGCCACAGACTAGGCAGGTATTCATCCCATCAAGACTTAGCGATACCTATTAGCTCAAATTTGACTCCTGGAACTAAGATCTCTAATTCTTCATGCTTCTTCCCTAAATGTGAAGCATGTAAGTAGACTGATATGAGGTCATGGGTTTTAATACTACCTTCTTTTGTGGATCTGTATATATACACATACACACATATATATACATATATATATATATGTATATACATATATATACACACATATAGATACATATACATATAGATACATATATATACACATATAGATACATATAGATACATATAGATAGATAGATAGATACAAATATATATGTATGAAAATGCAGTCTTCTCCATCCCCAAACTTTTATTTAAAGCATTTTAGATTGGATTTGCAAGACATTCAGCAAATATATTCTTAGTACCCTTTGTTAGGTTTATTCTCTCTCTGGCCAAGATTCTGTTATCACTATATTGTAAGCTATGGTTCAGAAATCCATGTACTCTTCTCAGTCACCATCTCTTCAGATATTAGTTCATTTCCCCAATTATTTTTTTCTCCTCTGTATTCCCTTGCCTCCAATGGCAAGAAATGTTTTTTTAAAAAGTGAATAAAGCATAATTTATGTCCCTACCTACCATCTTCTTGATCTCCTGAAAACCCTTTGTAATCATTGCACAATTTTTAGGTTTCTTTCTGACAGTATAATTAAACATTAAAAGTGGGTAGTGGTCATCCATTTTATTATTTTAGAAATTTCTCAGCTATTGCTTGAATACATGCACCAGAATGTCTTCTCTATCACTGTTATTAGAGTTAACAATTACCTGCTTCAATATCCTTAACTAGAAAATAACGTATTTTTTTTTGTTCAGTAGTTTTTCAATCATCTGACTCTGACTCCATTTGGGGTTTTCTTGGCAAAGATACTGGAATGGTTTGCCATTTCCTTCTCCAGCTCATTTTACAGATGAGGAAACTGAGGCAAATAGGGATAAGTGAGTTGACCAAGGTGACACAGATAATAAATGTCTGAGGCCAGATTTGAACTCAGGAAGATGAGTCTTCCTTATTCTAGGTCTGGCACTCATATCCACTGGGCCCAACAAACTATTACTACTCTTTAATTCTTCCTCTGACCCTTGCTAGATGATGGCATAGCTGATAATTTTTGTGGCTCTCTACTATAGTATTCTTTGCAGTCAAGTCTAAACGTATTGTTGACCCTTTCCTTCTCTTCCTTCTCTGGTAACATTTATCTACTCTATAAAAGTCTAACAAGGTTCAAGCCTCCCCTTCTCCATGCCGGAATTGCCCCCATCCCTACCAGCCACTGAAACCTGGCTTTTGTTTCCTTTAGGAATGTTTCATTTTCACCTAACAGAGTAGGGGAGGCATTCTTCAAGTTTCTTTACTTTCCCTTCTAGGAAGAACATTAGATTGGACTTGAAATCCAGAGAAGAATCACTAAGTTATTTCAGAAATACAAATAGTGTAGGCTCAGTGGAAGTCACTAAGACATTTTATCTACATACTGTTTAAAACATTCAGTCCTTTTTTTGTTCATTTATTTTTTTTTTGGTTTCATTTATTTTGTTTTTACTGTTTTTAAATCGATGGACCCATTACTAGAACTCTTTCAATTATAGGAAGTCAGCTGAGGATAGACAGCCTGACCCAACCCTTTTCAATTGGAAAACTATACCATTCATCTTTGTAGGGAGATAAGGAGACTTTTCCAGGGAAAAGCCTCCAGTTCTCAGGCCTGAATTGCAGAAAGAAGAATGTGACAGCTGAGGGAGAGCTTAGAGAAAATTTAGTACAAATTCATTTTCTAGATTTAAAACAACAACTGAAGCCCAGTACAAAGTGACTTGGTCAAGGTCTCAAGCCCAAATCAGGACAAAAACCCACATCTCTAAGCTTAATAACCAATGCTCTGTCAGAAACATCTTAGGATAAACAGGAAGACCTTGCTTCAGGTAACACTTTTCTTTATGGAGAGATTCTCAATTGACATTTTACATTTTTGAAAAAAGAACTAACTAAAGGTATATATATGTATGTATGTATGTATGTATATATGTATATATATGTGTGTGTGTGTGTGTGTGTGTGTGTGTGTGTGTGTATGTACACACACACACATACACACACATATATACACACACACACTCACCCCATATAGACACATATATGCTCATATATACAGATGAACCCAATACACGGTGATACATACATACATATGCCTAATCATAGTTGCATACACTCACATACTCATGTTCGTGTACTTGCATGTGGGAACACACATACAGAAAACGGTCATCAGGAACCTTACTTCCCTGATTATATCTTAAATACCATATTGATTGAAGGGTATGCTAAATACCTTATCTCCTCGAGGCCCTCTTTCTCCTCGCTCTCCTTGGAGACCCTGTCAAAGAAAGAAAAAAAGGAAATCACACATATTTCACTTACATCCCTATACTCATCATTTGCCTGTTTTGGTCCAAACCACATGCAGAGGACACTGTCCTCAGTAGGACTGGCAACTTCTCAGCCTGAAAACTACAGAGACATTGAAGAGACAGGAAAGGTCGTCTTCTCCGAACCCCTCATTCTACAGGTAGGAAAATGAAGTCCGAGTAAAGACATGTGACTTGTCCAGTGGACATAGAGCTAGTTAATGGCAGAACAAGTTCTACAACTCAATTTTCTTGACTACCAGCTTCTTTTGGAGATATTATAGAGAAGACATGTAAATCTAGGGAGTGAGTTCCAGCCTAGAGACAGAGATTTGAAAGTCATCTGCATATAAGGGATGTTATAATACAGATTTGACCCTTGAGTGAAGAAAATTTGGCTTCAAGGCCCACCACTGACATATAGTAGTATGAGACCCTGGGCAAATCACTTAACTTTCAAGTACTCCAGGCCACTTCCTAAAACTATATGTTTTATACCAATTTTTGATTTCCATTGGTAGAGGGAATACCCTTATTGGAAATTCCCTGTAACAGTGAAATCAGGGGTTCAGTCCTCTTCAGCACCAACTGAAAAAAAAAAAGTAGCAGAGACCACATAGGCTTATAAGGCAGAAGAAGAACAGTAGGCAAGTAAAGAAGAAGGCTTCAACTCAAAATAATGAAAAACTTCCTAAAACTGAAAACTGCTTCAAAATTTTATGGGCTCACTCAAGATACTGAGTTCCCTGTGACTGAAAGTCTTTAAGTGGAAAGAGCATGAAATTCTAAATCAAGAGAGTTGGGGTAAAGATCTGTTTCTGACATTTATGCTGCCTGACCATGGACAATCCATTTCAATTCTCTGACCCTCAGTTTTATCATCTATAAAATGTCAGTTGTGTCCAACTCTTCCTGACCCTATTTGGGGTTTTCTTGGCAAAGATACTGGAGTAGTTTGCCATTTCTTTCTCCAGCTCATTTTACAGATGAGGAAACTAAGGCAAATAGGGTAAAGTGACCTGCCCAGGGTCATACAGCTCATATCTGAGGACAAATTTAAATTCAGGAAGATGAGTCTTCCTGACTCCAGGCCTAGAACTCTATCCATTGCACTTCCTAGCTGCCTATCTATAAAATGAGGATAACATTAATTGCATTATCTACCTCTCAGGGTTATTGTGAGGAAAGTACTTTGTAACCCTTAAAGCAGGGGTGATGAACCTGAGGCCTCAAAGCCACAAGGGGCCTTCTAGGTCCTCAAGTGCAGTCTTTTGACTGAATCCAAACTTCACAGAATAGATTCTCTTAATAAAAGGATTTGTTCGTAAAACTTGGACTCAGTCAAAAGCCCACACCCAAGGACCTAGAAGGCCACATGTGGCCTGGAGGCCTCAGTTTCCCCACCCCTGCCTCAAAGCATCTCAGAAAAATTAGCTATTTAGCATAGTGCCTGACACATATAAGGTACTTAATAAATGCTTGTGATTGATTGAAGGAGTGATTATTACCAGGAATGTTTAATTTAGAGAAGAAAAAAAATCATGGAGGATATAATTGCTATTGTCAAGTATTTAAGGCATTAACACATGGAAGAAAGGCAACCAGGTATCGATGATAAAGAACTGGCATGAGATTCAAGAAGACTTGGGCTTCAAAGCCCACTTCTGACACAGAAGGAATGCAAGATATTAGGCAAGTCACTTAATCTGTAAGTGCTCTAAGAGAAATTCACCTCAAACTTCTAACAAAATTCTCTTCCCGGCAGTGATTTAAATAGATGATCTCTATGGTTGCTTTTGACTCCGAGATCTATGACTCTATGAACAGAATAGGCCAGAGCAGACAGTGAAACTGTAGTATGGTTGTCTCTATGTCATGATTTCAGGGTTCTGATGGATAGACTACACTATCCATCCCCAGCTCCCCAAAGCAGAAAGATAGATAGATAGATAGATAGATAGATAGATAGATAGATAGATAGATAGAAAGATAGATAGATAGATACATGAATGGATAAATAGATAAATAAATAAGTACATTCTCCACTAAGGTTGTGGATACCTAAAATCCTCTTATTAGTGATCTTTTTTTTGCCAAAATGTAGTATCCTGTTAAAAGACAAATTTGCTTATTAGTGGTGGTGATAACGTTAAGCTTTATTTAACAACAGTGCTAGCAGGAACCTTAAAGACTTCATACTACAACACTGGTTTTAGAAGTATGGAAACTGAGGAACAGAGAAAATGACCTACCTTAGGTTAGGCAACTAGTTAGTGAAAGACCCAGAATTTGATCCCAGGACTTATAGCTTCAAATCTACAGCTCTTCCCAACTTGCAGCATTCGAAGGAGTAAGACAGGGTGGAAAGAAGGCTTAACTTGGAGCCACAGGGACCATGTTTGGATCCTGGGTTTGCTACTGTCTGTACAACTTTAGGCAAATCCTCTCACAGTTCTGGCCTCAGTTTCCTCGTCTATAAAATGAGGGGTTTGGACTAAATGAACTCTGAGCTCCCTTCCAGGTTTAGATCTAGAACCTGTCCTTTCATTGTTTTAGTTTGTTTGTTTTTGTTATTCTTGTTGTTGTTGTACCAGGGCTAACTGGTGGCTTTGCTGGAATTAGAAGCCTGGCCGTGTGTGAGTATAAACAGAGGCTTGGAAGTTTCCCCCTGCACTGCTCAGTCACCTTCCAGAGGGATTCAATCAAGCAGAAACATTTCCAAGGGGGAAAATGGATTCTCTAGATAGTGCCATTACTTACCGGAATCCCGATCTCTCCAGGAAGACCTGGTGGTCCTGGAGGCCCCACTGGTCCCTGGAAAGGCATTTTCAAAAATAGGGGAAAAAGGACAAACATTAGGAGAACAAAACAAAAATCACCCAAAAAACCCTTACACCAACATGAGAAAAGGAAAAGGAAACAGACATTGATTGTGCGATCAAACTCCGTAATAAAAGGCAGCTGGAGCTACTCTGACACAAAGGAAACTATGTGGGATGATGTAAGAGGTAACTGGGACAACATCATTCCCAAACATGTCAGCCCAACCCAGAAGCACCCACAACACCTAAGATTTCATTATATTTGAGAAAGCAGTGTCGCTATAACAAATTGTCTCGGTCTCTTATTTCCAGAGTTTCCATGATACTTCTCTTTCCTGGTTCTACTCCTACCTGTCTTAGCCTAGTCACCTTTGGTGCCTTTCAGCTACCTTCTCCCTCTGCTTCTACAGCCCCCTTCTTTCATTGGTGAGTTGTTCTAGAACCTCTATTTCAAGGCAAAGTTTCCAACCATTCTTCATTCTCAAGCTTTTGTAACCATTCCCTCATGCTGGCACTCCCCTCAACCTTCTACTTTTCAGCCCTCTTTATTTGTCTTGCCTTGTTAAAAGAAAAGCTTCCTGTAGACAGGGGCTGCCCTTAGTTTATCTTGTGTTTGTATCCCTGGCACTTAGCACAAGGTTTGGCATATATAAGCACTTAATCAACGCTTGTTGATTTGACTTATTCACTCACACCACACCAGGCCCCTTCACTATTGATATTCCTCAGTATTCTGTCTGAGGATGTCTTATCTCTCTGTACTCTCTTGGTAACTTCATCAGTTCCTCAGTTTATCATCTTTGTGTAGAAGGCAAATAAAACAGAGGTAGACAGACAGACAGACAGATAGGTAGCCCTAGTTTCTCCCCTGTACTTCAGTCTTACATAGCCAATCGCTTATCGGATATTTCAAAACAATCTTAAATTCCAGACGTCTAAAGCAGAACTCATTATCTTTCCTCCCAGCCTTTCCTATTTCTGTCAGAGGCACCACCATTCTTCCAGTCTCTCAGGTTTCTAACCTTGGCATTATCCTGGAATCTTTATTCTACTTCATGCTATATATCCAGTCGGTTGCCAAAATCTTTCAGCTTCTTGCTTTACAACATCACTCACTTCTGACCTCTTTACTCCATCCACAGAGATGTCCCCTTAGTTCAAGCCCTCATCACCTCTCACCTACATTACTGCAACAACCTCCTAATTGGTCTCCCTATCTCACGTCTCTCACTACTCCAGTCCTTCCTACACACTACTGCCAAAGTCATTTTCCTTAAGCACAGACCTGACCAAGTTACTTCCCTACTTAACCAACTATGACGTCTACCTATTGGCTTTAGGGTAAAGTATATGTTCCCCTGATTAGTTTGCAAAGCCCTTCACAACCTGGCCCCAGTCTACCTTTCCAACTTCAATGGGCATTGTTCCCCTTTCTATGCCAAGTGATCTACTCATCCTGGCTTTTTCTCTGTTCCTCATACCCATGGCATTCCATCTCTCATCTCCACACCTTTGCAATGGCCATTCCCTCATTTATATAATTCATTCCCTCCTTAATGATTTATCATAGAGTCCCTCTCTTCTTTCAAGATGAAGTTTAATCACTACCTTCTGCACGAAGCCTTTCCTCATTCCACAAATACAATTGCTCTCCTTCTCAAACTACCTCGTAATTAGCTAATTTGTTGTTTGTATTTATTCATCTTACGGATATGCTAATATATTGTGGATATGCTATATACACATATATCTCCTTTCCTCCTCCATCAGAAAGTGAGCTCCTGGACAATTCCCTGATCCCAAATAGGCCTTACACCTTCCCACCTTTATGCTTTTCTCAGACTGATCTACAATAAATCTGCAACAATCTCTATCCTTTTCTTTGCTTGTGGAATCCCTACACATTCTTTTAAAATGCAACTCCAAGGGGGCAGTTAGGTGGTGCAGTGGATAGAGCACCAGCCCTGAATTCAGGAGGACTTGAGTTCAAATCCGCCCTCAGACACAGAACACTTACTAGCTGCGTGACCCTAGGCAAGTCACTTAACCCCATTGCCTAGCCAAAAAAAATAAAATAAAATAAAATAAAATGCAAATCTAATGGCATCTCATCCATTATGGCTTGCAATTAGAGATTATTTCATTCTTATTACTTGCATTCCCAGTGCTTAGCACAGTGATAGGCACATAGTAAGTGAATAATAAATACTTAAAGACTTGTTGTTTAATTTCAGGTGGGAAGACATGGATTAGAATCTGTCCTCTAACACCTACTGGCTGTGTGATGTGGGCCAATCACAACATCACTCTGAATTTCATTTTCCTCATCTTTAAATTGATGATATGATTGCTTGTACTACCACTCTCATAGAATGTATTGAGAAAAGTGCTTTATAAATCTAAAAGTGCAATAGAACCTTGTCCTCTTTTCCTCCGGGTTAACCATCATCCTCTCCAAGTCTCTTCATTTAAAATCAAGTTTTAGCCCTGTACATCTTATAAGTACTTTCCTCACAGAATTCTAGTAAGCTAGGTAGGGCAAGTACTTCCCCTCTCTTGACATTAGCTACCTTATCTGCAAGATGGGGACAATAAGTCCTGCCTGGCCTGCCCCCCAAGGCAGTTAGGATAAGTGAGATAAAAGATGTTAAGAGATTCATAAGATCATAGATTTATACCTGGAAGGCCATTAAATCCCACTCCCTCATTTTACAGATGAAGAAACTGAGGCAGACAAGAGGTTAAATGACTTGTTCAGATTCACAAAGCTAGTAAGTATTTAGCAGGATTCAAATGCAGATCTTTCTGACAGCAATCAACTCCACCACCAGGACCCTACAATATCTTCTCTTCTCCAGGCTAAAACTCCAGGTATTGAAGGCAGTTTCAATGTGTGGAATGACCACCTCTTCATGGGTGAGAAAAATATAAGGAAAAACAAAACCATAAGCTGTCTCTACTGAGGTCTTCTATAGATACGTGAAAGTCATGGGGAGGACTGGGCTTCCTTAGAAACAGACAAAGAGAAGTGACCTCGCCAGGCCTGTAATTGTGCCAAGTGTAACGGCAGTTGTGACCTTTCCAGTCCCCCCTCATCCTCTTCCGTGTCCCAGTTCTCCGGACTTTGCTGATGCATTACTAAGTGAAACTAAGTGACTGCAGTTCCTCAGACTTCTCACCATTCACACTTTCCTCTGCAGTCAGCAAGATCCTAGGTGAGTCCTGAGGACAAACCTGGAATGATTCTGCACATTGCTGAGGCACGGTCTTCTCTTTGGACAGTCTCTGTAGATACTATTTAACTGAGGCAGGAAAGGAACGTCGGATGAAACCTGTCTGCCAGGGGCTGTGAGCTACGGCTTCTCACTGTGGCAAATCCAAATGCCTACAGCACATAACTCTCACCCTTCTCCTACCCAGTGGCTTCTCCTCCTTTGAAATGTACTCTTTGCGTCTGACCCTCCATTCAGCCAATCTCCCATGCACGTAGCTGTGGCGCTATCTTCGGCTTTTTCCTCTCCCTCATACCTCCTATCCAATCAATTATCAGGTCATATCAATTCCATATTTAAAATTTGTTTTTTCAGTCTGTCACCTGCTTTCTGTCCTCACTGTAACCACTCTGGTACAGGCCCTCATTATTCACTTGGACTACTGCAGTCACCTCCTATTTCATGTCCAGTCTCTCCTCATTCCCTACCTCCGATCCAGTCTTCATACTGCTGCTTAAATTACCTTCCTTATGCAGTGTTTTGGACATGCCACTCAAAGACGTCTGCTCAAAAATCTCTAGTGGCCTTTTACTGCTCACCAAATCTAGTTCAGATTCTTCCTTTTGATATTTGAGGGGCTCCATAAACTGGTGCCCGTACATCTCATACTGCCTCATCTCATACTGATTACATCCACATATTAAAGTCAAGGAATATTGGACAATTCACTGATCCCCCAACAGGCCTAACACCTTCCCACATTTATTCTTTTGCTCAGACTGTCCCCCTATAATAACTCTGCAACATTCTATATTCCTTCCTTTTCTCATAGAATCACTACATATTCTTTTGAAATACAACTCTAATGGCATCTCATCCATGAAGGCTTTTTTGATCAGTGATGACCCTCTCCCTTACACCTCTCTAATGCGCTCCTAGTCATCTCTATTTTCATTTTATTCCTCTAATAGACTATAATCTTATGGACCATAGAATCTTTCATGAGTTCATCCAAAACCATTTTCACCTAACTGACTAGTTGAACTTTTGCAACTATGTTTTTTAGAAATACATATCCATCTGGATTAATCTATTGAATATAGAAAAATCATTTAACCATATTTAGTTCAGTAAATACTTATTAAATAAAGAGCAATTCATCTCCTTAAGGAACTTACAATCTATTAAAATGTGTTACAAAAAAAGAAGCTTACCTTCAGACCCACCTCACCAGGTAATCCAGGTTCCCCTGGCTCCCCCTGTATGAAAATAAAACATTATTACAACCTGAGCCAATATGGTGGACTCTAATTCATGAAAGAGTGAGTCTCATATTTCCTTTCTAAGTCTGCTATTTCAAACAAATGTTCGCGGAAACCTAGATCTCAGGACTGGAAGATACTTGAAAATATAGATTGTTAAGAGTCAAAAAGGATATTAAAACATAACATGTCTCTCTCTCTCTCTCTCTCTCTCTCTCTCTCTCTCTCTCTCTCTCTCTTTCTCTGTGTGTATATATATATGTGTGTGTGTATATATATATATATACATATATATATACAAAATTGATTTTATTAAATATTTCCCAATTATGTTCTTAAAAGTTTTTAATATTCATTTTTCTTTTAAATTTCGAGCTCCAAATTCTCTCCCTCCTGCCCTGCCTCCACTCCTTGAGAAGGCAAGCAATATGATATTGATTATACATGTGAAGAAATACAAAACATATTTCTATATTAACAATGAAACATACCATATTAGAAAATAGAATGGGTTTAGCATACAAGCTATGAAAGCTACAACAGTCCTTGAGCGTAGATTTTTTTTTTTTTAGCACTGGAAGGAACCTTGGAGGTCATTATTTTAATCCAGATAGTTTTCAAACTTTTTGGTCTAAAGATCCCTTTACCTGCTTAAAAATTATTTATGCCCCTAAAAAGCTTTTGTTTAAATGGTCTATTTCTACAGATATTTACTGTATTGGAAATTTTAAAAATTATACATTTTAAAAATATTTATTAATTCATTAAAATAAGAATAAACCCATTCATATTAACAGAAAAATATATTTATGAATAACAAGTTCTTTCCAAAACAGAAAAGTTAGAAAAGTGGTATGGTTTTACATAATTTGAAGATTTCTTTAATGATAAGCTTAATAAAGACATTTGGATTTTGCTATCTGCTCCTACAATCAATCAGTTGTAATATGTAGTTTTGGTTGAAGTATATAAAGACAATCCATCCTCACATAATTATGTGGTTAGAAAATGTAGGAGTATTTTAATAGGTAAATAACATCTTATGAAAATAGGTTTGACCTCAAAGACCCCAGGGGATCCTTGTACCACATTTTGAGAACCACTAGTCAATTCCATTCATTTTATATATGAAGACATTTAGGGTAAGTGAGGAGATTAAATATACTGCACAGCCAGAAAGACAGAACCAGAACTAACTGAGGACTAAAAGACAACTTGGGGACATTAAGAACATGTTCCATTCTTGGGAATCAGTGTGGTATACTAGAAAGAACACAAGGATTTAGAGTCCAGGGATTAGACTTGAATCTTTTCTCTCTGTCCTGGAGCCTATCACTTAACTTCTTATAATTTTTAGGAATTTTTTTTTCTGATATCAAGACTAACTGTTTGGGAAGGGTCCTAAAAAATAAATATCTCTCATCTGCACTTAAAAATAGAGGATAACATTGGTGAGGATAAGCCAGACCAGGAGCAAAATCTAAAAATATCTTGTGTTTGTCTTTGGGATGAATCATATTGTTATTTTGTTTCTGAGTAGATTTGCCATGTTTGGCTTATACCGGATTAAAATGAGTTTGCATTTCCAAGTACCCTGTCACTATGAGAGGCCAGAAAGGGTTAGGAGCTTGACTGTGGCCACAAATTGGGGAGAAGCTAACTGGCCCCTATGGAGAAAAAGTGGATGACCTCAGACACATTATCACTGCTGCTCTAACCCCCTGAGCTGACAAAGCCACAGCTGCCTGGCAAAATGATGGCAGCTACTCTTCTATTTCCAGCTTTTTCCTTTCCTTACAACCCAAATCATCCTGTGGTTAGAGGAAAGAATAAATCTCCAGGGACCCTTCCCTTTCACTCCAGCACCTATGCCCGCCCCACAGCCTGGAAGACCTACTGTCTTCATCTCTAGGGAAGTACCCAGGCTATAGGCCTTTTTCCTCTACTCACTTAGAAGACTGATACCAGGAGACTCTTTGCACATTTTATCCAAGGGAAGTCCCACACTGCTCCATGCTAGATAGGAGTAGGAACATGTAGACTATTAACCTTTAGCCTCTGGCTTCTGTTGCTCTGGAAAGGGCTACGCTACTCCCTACAATGTGCTCCACTCAATAACAATTCATTTTTCTCCATTTCCCCTGGCCCTGATGCCCATAATGTACTTAATGAAATGTATTGCAAGGAGAGCTAGAACTTGAGCTTACAGAATCTAAAACTCATGGAGCTATGTTTTTGTAAAATAATCTTATATCCACAGAATCTTAGAATATTATCAAAGGATCATAGGTCTAGAGTTGGAAAAGAAACATCCAATCTAAATGATCTTTTTGTAGATGAGGAAACTGAGGGCCAGGGAATGTAAGTGACTTTTCTAAGGTCATATATCAAAGATGAGATTTGAATCCTGGGGCTCAAAGCTCTTTCAAACTTTCCTAATTTCATGGAATCAAAATCTCAAAATTACAGAATATTAGATAGATAGAGATAGGACATTGGAGTCACAAATTCAAGAGGACTCAGAGATCATTAAGTTCAATATACCACCCCATAAAACTTACCCGAACACCCTTGGCTCCTTCTCTCCCTGGGGGTCCAGGTAAACCCAAGGAGCCCTAGAATGAAAAAAAAAAGATGAAAAATAACAGTCATTATTTTTAAATTAAATGCTTTTTTCAATTAATTAAATAATCTCTTTTCCACTACTCCCATTGAGAAAAAAAGACAAACAAGATCTTTGCAACAAAGTAGTGTGGTTTGTCCTTCATTCGAGAAGAGGACCATGAACATCAAGAAGGTGATGACATGACTTGCAATTGACTTTGATTTGAGTGAGTGAGGGCTGTGCAAAGTCATCAGTCTCACTTTCTTCTCCAGAGCCATCTGGGTCCAATGGCCAAATATCGATCAGGATGACTGGAGATGGCCCAGGATGCAATGGCAGAACTTGGGCCTTTTAAGATAAGGGCTTTTCAGGTTCTCACTTGGAGTGAGGCAACACTCATTCAGTGAACAAGCCTCTTTAAGAGTGAGTCAAGGCATGGCTCCTTTAAAAAAAAAATCAAACTGGGAGGGGAAGACTCTTAGGGTTCCTGGCCAAAAGAGAAATAGTTACTATTTACATTTACTCTGAGCATGAAATAACCATTAAGTGGTGCTTGAGCAGGGACCTATTGTCCAATCCATGGGATTCAGAGTGAATTGGGTTTAAGGCTTTGTCTTTTGGCCAGTCCTATTACTTACTTACTAGCTGCATCATTTGGGGCAAATCAACTCCCTGCTTTGGCCTTAGTTTCTTTCTCTGTAAAATGAGAGAGTTGGACCAGATCTAATGTTCCTTCTGGGTCCGACTCACATGAAAGCTATAAGTCATCTCCCTTCTCTGGTCCTCAGTTTCTACATTTATAAGATGGAGATCCTTGACCCCATTTCCCTGACAAGGTTGCTTTGAGTATCAAATGGAATGATGGATGGGAAAGTATTGTTTCATACCTAAAGCATTCTACAATACAAATGATCTTCTCTATTCTGCCAGAGCAAAGATTTCCTTACAACATGCTGTAATCATGTTGAGCCTAGCCAGCTGGTAGTATTGATGATAAAGGGGTATGAAATCACAGCACAGCCAGGGAAAATGAGGTCTTTGGATGCTTGCTGTAGCACTAACAAGCATCCTAGGAAAGAAAGGTGGGAATGTTCATCTGGATGATTATGTGTCTGCAGCCTTCAGTCTAACAATTGAAACTCCAATGGCATTAGTGTTCTAGCAAAACCCTCCCTTGTCAGGGTTCTAGAGCTGGGCGTGTTGGCTCTGGCTCAAATGGATCTTTTTCTTACAAAGCAGAAATTGTTTTAATGAGATATATTTCATTGCAAATACTTCCAAAAGTGATGGGGGAGGCATGTCATTAGCAGATAGGAAGAGGAGAAGCCTTTAAGATCAAATCAAAAAAATGTTGAAGGCAGAAGAGACTTTAGAATACTGACTGGTAGGACACTGCATTGTTACAGCTGGTAGGGGCCTTAAAAGATAGAATTAGGTCATACAGTGTTAGAGCCAGAACAAGCCATAATATTATGTAGGCCAGGAGAACTTACTTTTGGTCTGTGAATATTTTTTGAAATTTTGATAACTGTATTTGGATAGAATTTGTTTTCTTTATAATCCTATGTATTTTATTTTATTTAAAAACATTAAAGCATTAAAAAATATTAGTCTGGAAGTCAACTAATATTTATTAAGCACCTATAACATGGCAGACATTTTGTGAAGCACAGGGGATACAAAGAAAGGCATTAAATAAATAAATAAATAAATGAATGAATGAATGAATGAATGAATGAATGAATGAATGAATAATAAATAGATAGATAGATAGATAGATAGATAGATAGATAGATAGATAGATAGATAAATAGATAAATAAATAAATAAGTAAAGGCTTTATTCTCAAGGGAGACTCTAATGCGGAGACAAGGTGCAAACAAGAGACGTACAACCAAAATATATAAGGGTAAATTGTGGCTAGTCTCAGAGAGAAGGTACTAAGATTAAGGACTGGGAAAGGATTCTTACAAAAGATGAGACTTTAGCTGAGACTTTATGAGGCATTATTCTGAGGGTCCATAGGCTAAACTAGACTGTCAAAAGGACCCCTGAAATAGAATAAAAGCCATATTTTACAGGTGAAGAAATTGAGGCAGAGAGAGATCTGGTAATGTATATAAGATCATGCAGCTAACTAAAGTCAGAGCCAGAAATTCCAGGCCTTCTGATTCCTACCCCCATGCTCTTCCTACTACAGATACTGCCTCTATAGCATGGCTGAATTTTGAATTATTTAAATACATTAGTAATAACAAATGCATCAGAGTTATATAGACAGTCAACAATGATTTTATTGAGCTCTTACTTTATGCCAGGCACTATGCTAAAATGCTGGTGATGCCCCGAAAGACAAAACCAATCTCTGCCCTCCAGAAACTCACATTCTAAAGGGAGAGACAGCATGCAAACAGCCAGGTACATATGGCATATAGTCAGAGTAGATGGGATGTGGAAGAGGAAAGAACTAACAGCTGAAAGGATTGGGAAAGGAATCAGCCATCATCTTATCAGACCCTCACAACTAACAACCTAGTGGTATAGTTAGGGCAGAGGTGATATTCTCCATGTGATCAATGAAGACAGTGAAGTTAAGTGATTCAATTACACATGCTGTATATTTTGTACACTGCTGTTTTCTTAAACCCTTGTTGTATTTTATGTAAGCATATGCACACCCAAAGGCATAAAACTCACAAAATTGTAGCTGAGATCCTTGGCAGGTAGAAAGAACATAAAGGTTCAACTGATGAAAAGCTACATGAAACCTTGAATGCCATAGCCTTTCTCAGACACCTTGGCCCACTCTGAATCCTTAGGTATCAACCCTGCATGGGAACCTGCCAGTCTACTTTGATGGGACAGAACAGATTCACTGAATTATTGCAAGAAATTTCTTAAGGGATGGAGGTTGAAGAGTGTCGAGAATAAAATCCCATGTGATCTCTAAATATAGTTAACCTAAAAGTAAATGGAAATTCAATTTGATCTGACATAACTTCCCAAGGCCTCACTCCTTTGTTCCTCTTGAAGACAATCTAAACCTGGACAAATGGCAAATTTATTTTGGATCACAGAATGTCACAGTCGGAAGGAAACACAGAATATAGAATGCAAAACTGGAAAGGACTTTAGAATGTAAACAGCAGCTAGATGGCAAAGTGAATAGAACACTGGGCCTGGAGTCAGGAAGACTCATCTTTTGGAGTTCAAATCTGGCCTTAGATACTAGCTGTGTGATCCTTGGCAAGTCACTTAACTCTTTTCCTCAATTCCTCATCTGAGGAGCTGGAGAAGGAAATGGCAAATCACTCTAGTAACTTCGCCAAGAAAACCCTAAACAGGGTCACAAAAAATCAAACACGACTAAAACGATTCTACAACAAAATTAAAGCATACAAGAACATACAATTTTGGACTTAGGTCTTTAAAAAAATAGAACAAAGAATGTTAGGGTAGAAAAAATCCCCTTAGAACAGCCATCAAATATTGAAAGACTGTTCTGTTTTTGCCTTTGCTTCCTAGTCCACTGAACGCTGTATTTTTTTCATTCCTCATCCTCCTTGATCTCTTGCAGTTTCTGATATTGTCAAGTAGCATCTTTTCCTTAATTTTCTCTTCCCTCTTGGTTTTGTTGGCATTCCTCTTTCCCAGTTCTCCTACTACTTCTCCAGCCACTCTCAGTCTCCTCTGCTGGACTTTCATCCAGATCATACCTGCTAATCATACGTGTCCCAAAGGCCTCTGACTGGCCCTCTTCTCTTTTTCCTCTTTACAATTTCACTTGGTGATCTCAGCAGCTGCCATGGATTCAATTATCTCTATACTGATGTTTCTCCAATCTACTTTTCCGGTATTGACCTCTCTACTGATCTCCAGTCTCATATATCCAACTGCCTATCTGATATCTCAAAATGGATGTTCCATAGACATCTTAAACTCAGCATGTCCCAAACTGAACTCGTTATTTTTCTCCTCAAACACTTCACTCTTCTTAGCATCCCAATTGAGGGCACAACCATCCTCCCAGTTGTCAGCCTTAAAATCCTCAGTCTCTCTCAACCCTCCTATCCAATCTGTTGCCAAAGCCTGTCAATTTTGCCTTCATAACATTCTCTCATATATTTCCTTCTCTTCTCTGATACTGCCAGCCCTCTAAAGCACTCATTACCTCACCCTTCAACTACTATACTATGTTAGCTAAATTCCTGCTAAAAGTCTCTCCCCACTCCATCTTCCACTCAGCTGTCAGAATGATCTTCCTAAAATACAGGTCTCACTATATTCCTTCTTTCCCTTAATAAACTCCTGTGATTCTCTATCACCTCCAGAATCAAAAGTAAAATCTTGTTTTGCATTCTGTGTCTTTCATAACCTACCCCACCTCTTTCACCTTTTTAGTTATCTTAGAATTTTCACACTTCACCTACTCTGCCATCCAGTAGCTTCCTTATTGTTCCTTTAAAAAGACACTTCATTTCTCAATTCTGGGCATTTTCATCATCTATCCTCCATGTCTGGAATGCTCCTCCACCTCCTAGCTTCCCTATATTCCTTCAAGTCTCAGTTAAAATCCCACCTTCTACAGGAAGGCTTTTCCTATATCTCTATTGATTAGTTCCAATTTATCCTGCATATATTTTGTTAGCACATAATTGTTTGAATGTTATCTCCTCCATTAGACTGCGAGCTCTCTAGGTTCAGGTACTATATTTTCCCCTTCTTTCTCTAACAGTTAACACAGTGTCTGACACATAGTAGGTACTTAAGGGATCTGAATTCTTGAATTGTGGAATTGGGTATCATTAGACAAGAGGTTCTTAACCTGGCATCTACAGACCTCCAAAGTGTCTATGGATAGATTTCAGGGGCTTTTTTTTATTTCAATAAAATTGGTTTCTTTGGTGATCCCATGTATTTTATTTTATACACTTAATTTTTTTTTCCCTGAGGAATCCAAATGCTTCACCAAGCTGCCAAAAGAGTCTGTGACACAAAAAAAGGTGACCT